AATTTATCGTGGCCTTGTTTAGTGTGATCCTTCTACGTATTCGAAGCTCAGTTTATAATGGTTGTATATAGTGTGATGTGGGTACATATTTGTGCAATCTTTAATGTATCACTTTTATCGCAAGATTGCTTACGTCATAGTTTAGTGTTTTAGTTCAATATATAGTGCTTGTAAGGTCAGGGATTTTATTTGCAAGTGTTTTAAATCATTAAATCAGTAGTTTAGGCAAGTGTAATGTCGTGTTGGTCTGGGGGTTTAATGATTTACGTCCAGTTTCTATAACCTATCTATCTGTAGATTTGCTTACTAGAGATAGAATTTTGACATGAGCTCCATACAAAATGTGTCAAATCTACAGATAGATAGGTTATAGAAATTGGACTTTAATGAATAGGGTAGATGTCTAATTTTTATTTTAATGTCCGTCTGGTAGATTATTTTAAATCATTAGACACGTATTTTTTATTTTCATACTGAAACTAATACATACTTTCGACGATATATTGATTTGAAATGTCGCGTGACGTCACTTCTATGTACATTTTATACGTAGAAATTACGTTTTAGCTCCCACTCCTAAACTTTGATTCGTTTTATCTAAGTATTGTTTTATTATACCACGGTAACCCGTTATGTTACTCCCAGATAGAGTATCAGTTTTTTGAGTTCGATTTTTAGGTTTATTTTTCGTTTTCTCAAAAATTCTCAGTAAATGCAAAGTCTGGAATTGTACCTCACATACATCAGACATTTTTTACTGTACAGACAACTACTGCATTGTTAAAAGATAGAAGTACAACTGTAAATTCAGATTATCACACGTATGTATACTGAAATGTAGATCTAATCATATTTGACAGTTGTTCCAAGTAGCCAAGCCTTAAATTCTAACAACGAGGTCAGACAGGAATGTAATATTACAATCTTGTCATGAATGGCTAAAAAAGTATTAAAAATGTCTGTTTGCAAGTTTTTGCTATTAGAGTGAACCTTAATGTAAGTAAAGACGTGTCTTTAGCAATATAAATATTTAAATCTTGCTTATCTAATATACTGCCTCGTTGGCCGAGTGGTCGCAAGTGCGACTGCCGGGCAAGGGGTCTCGGGTTGGACCAGGTCAGGCAAAGTATTACTGGGTGTTTTAAAAATTCTCAGTAGTCGCACGGAGTCTTAAATTGTGTCCGGTATATGGTTCACTCCCTATTACATGGGACACATAACATAAATAGTGAAAATTGGGTGTTACATTGTACAGTGGCATAATTGCATTTCTGCCTACCCCTTCGGGGATGAATGGCGTGATGTTATATTATGTTAAACTCGGCCAACGCGGCAGTCATCAAGTTGATGTGATGTATTTAAATTAAATAATAAATATTTTATTGCTCTATTTTAAACCTCTTTAACAACAATCAGTAGTTTCTACTTACCTCACATCAACACAAGTTAATATTTAGCTTCGCAGCGACACCTATGTAAATAACATAAATAACAGTTGACATACGCTAAAAGGCATTCGACATTCTATATCAGTGTGAACACGCCATGCAAGTGGTGCGGAAAAAAGACGAGAGATGGCGTTGTTCTTAAAGTTGACGTTACGATACCCGACTTGTATGAAAACTATCTACTTTTTAATTTTCTCTGAAGATTTGTATAGTTAGAAACTGCCATATAAATTAGAAACTGACATATAAACCAATTTTTATCGATGAAAAAGTGTGGGAGAGCCATGTTTCGGCACGAATGGGCCGGCTCGACCGGTGTGATACCACGTTGTGTTTCTTTGTGTGAGTGAGGTTACCGGAGGCCCAATTACCCTCCCCTTCCCCAATTCCCTAATTCCTGTATCCCCAACGATCCTCAAACTCCTTATCCCTAAAAGGCCGGTAACGCACTTGTAACGCCTCTGGTGTTCCAGGTGTCCATGGGCGACGCCGATTGCTTACCATCAGGTGATCCCTCAGCTCGTTTACCGGCTTATGCCATGAAAAACATACTTATATACAGTTATGGTGTAGGCGGTATGGTCATAAATCTCAGGTTTCACTCTAGAGTCGAATAAAGTTGTTATACAGTATTTATAATTACTATTAGTTTTATATTTTGTATATATGGCAATAGGCTCACCCCCTATTACATGGGACTCATAACATAAATAGTGAAAAGTGGGTGTTATTTCTGTGTGCACCTCTGGCTACCCCTTCAGGAATAAAAAGGCGTGATGTTATGTTATGTTATTTATTTTGTTTTTTTTTTTGCAGATTGTACAAACACATTTTCGCTGATTCTATACTTTACTTAAAGGTTGACTGGGAGAAAATGCCATATGGCATTAAGTCCGCCTTATGTACCTTATTTTGTGTGCAATAACCTCTTATCTGCCGGCTTAAGAGACACAATAGAAAACATATTGTATCTCGCGTATCACTACATAGTATAAAACAAAGTCGCTATCCGCCGCCTGTCTGTCCCTATGTATGCTTAGATCTTTAAAACTACGCAACGGATTTTGATGCGGTTTTTTTTTAATAGGTAGAGGCATTCTTAAGGAATGTTTATATGTATAATACATGCATATTGCACCCGCGCGAAACCGGGGCCTGTCGCTAGTATCCATATAAATAAAAAAAAATAAAGTATTTGAGTCTGTAGAAGTTTAGGTTTTTTGGAAATTTCAGCAGGAGTTTCAGTAATAGCGCGGCGACTAGAATTGTGCTGTATATGGCAACAGGCTCACCATATATATTTGATTCATAAAAACTGATGAAAATGATAGTGTACTTAGTGATGTTATGTTTTTGCATGTTTTCATTAGTCATGTAGTGATCTTTAATAAATTCTCGATCGATCCGATAGTTCAAACTTATAATTTTATTCTATCATAAAATTTTTAGGTGATCGTTGATGTCTTTTGTTCTACGTTTTCTCAGACATTCAATTATGATACGTAAAATTTAACTATTACTCAAAGAGACACTGAAATACTAAAGGACATACAATAAAACACAATATTCATATAAAAATATTTTATTAACGTACAAAAATAAAATTAAATAATTATAAAAAACAATATTTCTAAAAATAAATAGAAATTTAATTATTTTCTAATCACGTAATCCTTATTTTGGAAATATTTACGGACTATGAACATTTCTCTATGTCGTTTTGGAACCTTAATTTTGGTTACCATGAGTATTTGGTTATTTAATCCCCCCTACCATCTCCCAGGGGGAAAATGCCTCGTCCAAGGTTAGAACCTGATTTTTCCTTAGTAAAAATATATTTGTGAAAATTTTAAAATTCCTTTCGATACCAAGGCCGAAATTTTCTTGTTGTCATAACTTAGGCTTCCGATATACCAAGTTTCGGCGTTTTAATGTATTAGGGGCGTTAAAATATTACGTAAGCACATTTTTTACAATTATTCACCCCCCCTTGTCAGCAAAAGTAAGCAAAGATATTACCCCCTCTCCCTTTGCTTACGTAAACATTTTAAATTATATCTTTTTTATATTGTAATTATATGTAATATGATTATATGTATGTAATTATATTGTTCAAGTACCATAATGTCTCGTTCTTTGTCGGTCTTTGCTTTTAATTTATAATTTCAATATGAGGGTTGCCATTCGTGTAAAAAAGCAAATGATGACGTAATCATCATCTAGACTCCCCTACCCCCCATATCATCCGAAATAATCAAAACAGAGACCCTCCTCTGGTGCTTACGTAATACTTGAACGGCCCCTTACTTACTAATATAATAAAAAACAAATATTTGTTTGTTATCAACGAGAGTTGAAACTTTTTTATATTTGATATGTTGACGTTTGACCACTATCTCGCCTGATGGTAAGCGATGATGTGGCCGACGATGGAGCACGCCTACCTATGAGCAACCTGTTCACTCGGGACTTGAAGACACCCAAGTCATATTTGTTGGGAAACACAGAGTCCGGCAAGGAATTCAATTCCTTAGCGGTTCTAACTACTGGGACTAATAAGAGAAAAAGGGATGATTATATAATTTTTTAGGCTTAAGTGAAAATGTAGAAAATCTATGTTCAGTATTGGACGTCCTTTGGCTGATATTATGATGAAATGAAAATGTAGATGAAGCGAAAGAGGTATGACAGAATCACGTCAATTGCCGTTCTATTATCTCTGCCAACAAAGGAAAATAGGTGTGACGATATGTATTGATGTATGTAGTATATGAAATGGAATGAAAATGTTAGTGAATGAAAAATGAATAATGGAATTTCGGGAAATTCATGATCTTGGAATAATGTTTTGTAATGTGTTGGAACATTTTTCTGATTGTAATGATACTTTATGTAACATAGACAATGATAATGATGATGAATGAGAAATAAGTCAAAACAATATATTAAATCGTAAATAGGGACTACCATAGCGAAAGACGTGTCCTTATTGTATGGAAACATTTAATGACAAATAATGATGTGATTGACATAATGAATTTAAGTATGATTTTGATGGAACAAAGTGTTTTATGGAACAGGAGGCAAACGAGCAAACGGATCACCTGATGGTAAGCGATCAGCGCCGCCCATGGAAGTGAATGATGATTCAATGAGTGAAAGATAATATGGTTCATGAAATTACTGATTGAACATGACAATGAATGATGGTGACGGACTTTTAATTTGTTATTAATTGTTAGAAAATGACAATGTGTGAATTGAACTGACTGATTTTATGCATGAACCTTTTTCTGATGGATACTAATTATGAAAACATGATGATATGAATGAATGACATGACATGATTGGTGTAATTATGAATGGCAAATGAGTCGATATACATATAAATCGCAATTACAAACAACTGACTGAAAAATCTCTTTCAAAAACTGAATATACTATTAACGACTGTTTTCCTTTTTTCTTATTTTAAATTAAATCTTTTTCTTAAATACAAACTCTATTTACAATAAGTTACATTTGTAGCAAAAGGCACATAATTTAAGTTTTTCAAGGATTTACGAGTTTGTCTATCCATGGTACGAATTTTTGTATGTTTGTGTATACGCCTGGTAAGTGTTCTCGACCACAGCCGATGCCCCACGAGACGAGGCCTATGAGGGTGCTTCGCCCCTCCAGTTTCATTGTTAGAGGGCCTCCGCTGTCACCCTGGCAAGAGTCTCTACCACCCTGGAAATTAAAAGTTAAAATTAAGATTTGTATTTAATTCATTGTAGAAGACAAGTCTAAAATGCATAACATAACATAATACCACTGTACAATATACCACCCACTTTTCACTATTTATATTATGAGTCCCATGTAATAGGGAGTGAGCCTATTGCCTACTGCACAATTCCAGACTCCATGCTACTACTGAGAGTATTTAAAAACCCAGTAATACTTTGCCCGACCCGGGAAACGAACCCGAGACCCCATGCACGTCTAACATGATTTTCATTTTACAAAAGGTGCCACAGATTTTTTCTCAAATTTACAAATATCTGTGGATTACATGATTGAAAAATAGTTATTAATAGTTATTCAATGCGGACAAAGAATTGTTTCCACGAAGTCAAACCTTGATTACTGGTCTACTGAGTCAAATGTGCAATATAAATAGCGGACAGCTGTTGTCAGTTCGAATTAATAAGATATCTGACGTAACTATCTATCTATGGGCCCTTTACCTGTGAAATTGCAATTTTTAGCATGAAATTGTCATTGCAAGGTGACTAACTTTATGAAATCGTCGTTTACCTAAGAATATCTGGTAAAATCCTATATTTTTAAACTTTACCCCAGGCCAGAATTTTCTCCTGTGTCGTGGGTGCGTTCACAAATATACAAGTACACATATACATACATTACATCCAGTCCCGGAACAACAATTTGTGTATCACAAAAAGAGTTGCTCCGTGCGGGAATCGAAACCGCGACACGTTGCGCGGCAGCCAGTTATCCAACCACGGCGACTAACGCGCCGTCAAAAACATCTTTATTTTCAAAATATTAGTCGTGTTATATTAGTAAATACAGTTTATACAATACCTCTTTATACCCTGCACAAAGGAATACGTCATGGATGGTCTCCCTTCTCCCAGCAGCTCGGAACCACCGCTGACAACGTTCATTAGGGATTACTTCTACATCCACTTCCTGAAACGTTACAAGAAATAACTCAGTAAATTTTATTTGCTATTTTTCAAAAATGAGTACTAGTTAGAAGAGAAAATTGTGTTGATAACTAAGATACAACCCACTCAGAGTATTGACAAATAATTTAAGTGATGTTCAGTTCAATTTGTCCAACCTTTTAAAAGTTGCACATAATATGCAGCATATCATGAACAATTTTGTACTATTTTTACTAAAATGAAATTAACTATATTATATACAATGAACTACGTTTTATTTTGATATAATTTTTAGTTATCTGTATACTGTATTCTCAGAAAAACACACAAAATTAAACGGCATAATTTGTACATACATAGATTGAAAATCACCAAAGGACCCAATATCGCGCCTTGAGGAACTCCGGCAAATTTTACAACAAACACAAGCAGTTAAAACATTACCTGTAACACAGAAGGCACAGAGCTTTGTCCATGCCTCGTTCTGCCCCATCCTGCAACCGTGGCCATCTTTCCAGCTAGCTTCATCTGCTTTTGAGGAAGACATACCTGGAAACATAGTGAGGTACGGTTATCGAAGGTTTGAGAAGAGTCTTAGAAAATGTTAAAAAATGTTATTTAGGGAAAATAACCTTAACGAGTAAACATTTTCTTAAAGAATCATTTAGTTGTAGATTAAATTACAATAAATGAATTTTAACTAATTTCATATTGAATTAACAAACAGTCATAAATCAACGTCTATTAATTTGTCTCCCATCCTGACGTAATATGTCATTGCGCCTTAACATATGCAATAAGTAAGAGAAAATTATGCTTAAAAAAGCATAATAGTTAGTAGAGTAAAATCTTTATGCCACAATTATAGGGAATTAAACCATTGGTAATTTTTTTTCTATTTCTTTATTCTCTTTAAAAAACAAATTCGCCCGACACTAGGATTATCTCCTGTGTCGTGGGTGCGTTTACAAACATACAAGTTCACATACACATGACACTCAGACCCGGAACAACAATTTGTGGTTTGTGGATCCCACAAAGAGTTGTTCTTTGCGGGAATCGAACCCGCGACACGTTGCGCGGCAGTCAGTTACCCAATCACCGCGCAACCGTGCAGTTAATTGTCAATTGGGAAGCTGCATAGATATAGAGCAATGATTATACTAAATACTTACCGGTAAAATATGTTGTTTAAAAACTACGCCTCTATCAAGTTGGACTAGTGCCACATCGTTCCTGAAGTCAGCTGGTTCATACGAGGGATGCACCTCCTTGCGTTGTACTGCGAACTCCTCGTGGGAGTACCTCTCCCCTGAGTCCCGCACGTCCCACTCGCCGAGACGAACGCGGAGCTGATTGTTTGGAGTGCTGAAAGGAAATGTGGTGGTGATCACTAATAGGACACACTAGCAATTATTAATATTGGCTGCGCTGTTACTTGAGTAGTCGCGAGTGTGAATGCCGAGCAAGCGGTCTTGTATTTGATTTTCAGATCAAACAAAATACTGTCAATTATTTTTCAAACATGTTTTTTTATGGGATAAGCCGGTAAACGAGCTGATCACCTGGATGGTAAGCAATCGGCGTTGCCCATGAACACCTGGAACACCAGTGGCGTTACATGTGCGTTACCGGCCTTTTGGGGATTAGGAATTTGACGATTGTTAGAGATTCAGGGGTTAGGGAGATTAGATTCAGGGGTAAAAAGAAATCTGGAACAGTGAGCTATGGCTCACTCCCATTCATATGTTAACATTTTTTAGGACAACAGTATTATTAACACGACACTACAACGAAATGTTCTCTTATAAATTATAATGTTTACTACTGCTCATGAGTATGAGCCTCTAGAATGGCTTGAAACTAGTCGAATTTCTCATCAAATAATTACGTGCGTAAGCCGAAACATAATTAATATAGTATGTCTCGCGATAGTTAAAATATAAAATTATAATATGTATAATAAATTTCTCCTGTGTTGTGCGTTTGCAACATTAAAATTCATATTCACAAAGATATAAAATGTGCAATCATCAACAGGATAATTATAATTTACTACATCAAAAACTATACTAAAATTAAGTGAATCAGCACTTTAAGTGTGTAATTTCAAAACATCATTAGTCAAAACGGATGTAGAATTTAGTCATTAGTCAACTAGTCACTCCTAAAATGTGTATTACATAATATGAATTAGATTGAAGAGTAGTCTTTAATGCTGGCGCTACACAAGTGCGCACATGTATGACGCTGGCGTAAAGAGAATGAAGTTACAAAATTTGTATTATTCGTAAATAAAAATAAATCATTGTAAGATACATTATTTAACAGTTTGCTATGCATGTTTCTGATACTTTATTCATCATCATCAACAACCATTAAATGCCCACTGCTGAGCAAAGCCTCTTCTCACACGGCTTGAGCATTAATCACTACGCTTGCTCAATGCGGGTTGGCGATTTCAAACTTATAATTAGAAATTATAAGTCCAGGTTTCGTCACGATGTTTTCTTTTATCGGTTGTCAGTGGTGTCTGAATAATCTTAAAAAGTATATATATATATGTAATTCGGAAAAAGTCACATTGGTACTTGCCGTTGGTAAGTTTCGAGCCCGCACCCTCATGCATGAGAAGCAGGCGTCTTATACCTCCGGGCCACCATGACATTATTCATATATTATTATTTAATTTTTTCCGACATAAAAGGAACACTTTTCGACTATATGAAGCACTAGCTTCTTCCAGTGACTTCGCATGCGTTCCCGTAGATTAAAAGTAGCCTATGTGTTATTCCTGATGTGTTGTTCCAAATTTCATATCGATTCTTTCTCCCATTTTGACATGAAAGAGTAAGAAACACACACACACACATATCCTCACAGCCTTTTGTATTTATAATATTAGTAATATAATATTTGTAGGATTTTTGATTAATGACATTTTTTCTATTTATCGACGACTTAATTTTGTTTTAAATGTACGGAGATCGCGTTTAAATCTAATTACTAAATAGATCGACTGCCTCGTTGGCCGAGTGGTCGCAAGTGCAACTGCCAGGCAAGGAGACTTGGGTTCGATTACTGGGTGTCGGACAAAGTAATACCGAGTCTTTTAAAAAAAAATCTAAGTAGTAGCACGGAGTCTGGAAATGTGCCCGGTATATGGCAATAACCTAACCCCCACATGGGACTCGTAACATAAATAGTGAAAAGTGAGTGTTACATTGTATAGTGGCATAATGTACGCCTCTGTCTACCCTTTTAGTGATAAAAAGCGTGATGTTAGACATGTTATGTTGTCGATCAAAACTCATGATTTATAATATTTTCAAATATATGTATTTTGGTTAATCTTATTCCGGGTCTACAAAGCATAATAATATTACATTATTAAAGACTACTTCCTTTTTATTAATCTCATAAATATTCAAACAAAAAAACCAGAACAAGATTATACGATTATTTTAAAAAAAACTAGACCAAAATTAATATTCTTTTGGAACCTTTCAAAACGGAAACAAAGCGATGATTCACATTAACAAGATCCTTACGTAACCTATTACATAAACTTAAAACCATCTTTACGACTCAAACATTACGGTTTATTTTCGAAAAACAACGACCCACTTAAATGAGAAAGTCTATAATTACGTTTAAAAAAAATGACGAGACTATGAAAGGAGGTAAAGTTTCAGCGAATAATGAAAAAAATAGTGAAATTATAACGTTAATGATTGCTAGTACCGAACCAAAGAGTCTTTAAGTTATTTGGGGTTTTTAAGCACCAAGCTGTTGTTGTTGTTACTTATACGTATAATGTGGAGACAGATATAAATATAACATTACATAACATCACGCCTTTTATCCCCGAAGGGGTAGGCAGAGGTGCACATTATGCCACTGTACAATGTAACACCCACTTTTCACTATTTATGTTATGAGTCCCATGTAATAGGGGGTGAGCCTATTGCCATATACCGGGCACAATTCCAGACTTTAAAAACCCAGTAGTACTTTGCCCGACCCGGGAATCGAACCCGAGACCCCCTGCCGTCGACCGGCAGTCGCAATTGCGACCACACTTTTCAATTTCATTTTTAATATAAGTACTCAAATACTTACGTAGCCACACAATGAGCTGCAGTGATCACCCATCTGTCAGAGATCAGAGCTCCACCACAAGCCAGCTTCTTGCTCAGGAACCCTGACTTGATGAGAGCAGCTTGCCACGGATGGGAACCAAAGCCAGTCGAATGTCCACCAACAATACGGTTGGATCTGGTGAAATGCTCACCGCAACCTGAAATGAGTAGGGTTATATTAGTTTTTTGGATCAAAATGAGTATATGAGTGGGTTTTTGAAATTGGTGGTTGTGTAGTAAATGCTGAAAAGTTTAATGCTGTGTTTGGAAAGATAAGATAGCCAAAGATGACGGTTTATACAGATTTTGTAGAAAAATAGCGTTCTTAAAAAATAAAGGAACTGATTACTTTATATGAAAATTAAGATATATAGTAATGGTGTACACTTTAAATTTTTTAGTTTTAATTTAGTAATATTTAGTTTTAATTTTTTTTTTTTTTTTAAAGTAATAGTTAGTTTTTAATTTAAGTTTTTTATTTGAATAAATGAATTTAATACAAAAAAAAAAAAAAAAAACTTTAAATTAAAATATTGCATTTAAGACCGATTCCAATTAAATTAAGAAAATAAATCTCTATATATCATTTTTGATAGGTAAAATCTGACTTTGAATATTATAAGAAACAACAAAAAGGCAATTTTTCACTTGTAATTATTATCAAAAGACGTAATATTATAATACAAATATTACCGAATGTCAGTACTATATACACGGAGTAACTGCTTAGTAATATTGTCTTAAAACCCACCAAAGATGGTGCATAAAATATGTGGGTCCTAAGTACCCATGTAAAAAAGTATAAAAAACAAAATTAATACATACATACATACATACATAACTTCACGCCTGTCTCCCATGGGGGTAAGCAGAGACTAAGGAACGCCAATTACTACGATTCTTACATACCTCTTTCGCTTCATTAACAGTCATCAATCTTTTCATGCATGCTCGTCGGTTAAGGGTACTTTTAATTTGGCCCTTCTTTAATAAAAATTCTTTAACAAAATTAATATAAATATATAAATACATAACTACAAAGAAATAAGTAGATATAAATTGAACTAATTTAAAAATAAGAAATATATATAAACAATTTACATAAAAATACAATTAACACATACACACAATATACATATTAGACATATAAACATTAACAAATAGTTTAACACAAAAATTAACAAACATATAACATCAAAACTTGTCATAAGCGAGTGCTGTACAGTGCATTGCTTGTGTTGCTGTCTATTGCTTAACATGCAACGTCTACTAAGTCTATTTGCTGAACGTACAACGTCTCATATGTCTATTTGCTAAATGCAACAATAGTTTAGACATTTTTGACGAGCAATTAATGATATACATAGTAATTTAGATGAATGCAACTTGTAAAGTTAATCTAAAAGCACGTCTAAGACATTTGATTTAAGTTATTTGTTAATTTGTTTATTATGAAAATAACATAACATCACGCCCTTTATCCCCAAAGGGGTAGCCAGAGGTGCACACAGAAGTAACACCCACTTTTCACTATTCATGTTATGAGTCCCATGTAATAGGGAGCCTATTGCCATATACCGGGCACAATTCCAGACTCCGTGCTACTACTGAGTTTTTTTTAAAACCCAGTAATACTGTGCCCGACCCGGGAATCGAACCCGAGACCCCTTGCCCAGCAGTCGCACTTGCGACCACTCGACCAACGAGGCAGTCAGTAGTTGTTATTATACTAAATTGCACTCTTTTCCCCAAGCCATATCTTTCTTAAATATTTTTCGACTGAATAACCAATCATAGGCTTTTGTCCCTGGGTTGAATCAATCTTCATTGTATTACCTATACTCGGAATTTTAATTCGATTCCAGATTTGACAATTTCAGTGTTGCAACGTTATGACAGGTACTAAATAGTGACGTTGCAAAATTATTCGATATGGAAATGGAATATTTCTGGATCGATTCTTCTCGTTTGTAGTTTTACTCTCGTAAACTAAGTATATCAGGAAATTAAATATTTCTGAACCGATAATTTAGTTTTGACGATTAATTAACGATCTGAGACTTTTCTTTTATAATTGTGCGTGAAATATATAAAAAAATGTAATCATGAAGGAACATGACAAATAAAACAGATAGATGTATCATGGTAATCTTCTTTTTTTTTTTAAAAAAAAAACGTTGCCCCACACTAGGATTTTCTCCTGTGTCGTGGGTGCGTTTACAAACATACAAGTTCACATTCACAATGACACCCAGACCCGGAACAACAATTTGTGGATCACACAAAGTGTTGTCCCGTGCGGGAATCGAACCCGCGACACGTTGCACGGCAGCCGGCTGCCCAGCCACCGCACCAACCGTGCAGTCAGTAATAAGTTATTTTATAAATTGTCGCCGTCATCGCTATCGCTATCCTGTCACTTTCTGTAACATTTATTATAAAACACACACACTGATTGTTTATCGATTTTTGTGTCCATCACTACACTATTATATGTGGTATCATTATTTCACAAAATGACAGTAGCTATTGTCAAATCTGGAATCTAATTAAAATTCTGACTATATATACCAAATAACTAATCTGACTGTATATCGCAAATCAAATTACTTAAAATCAAATCAATAGGTGCTGAAATAATCTGTTGCAAGTTCAAAAATGTATTTCTCGTTGCATTGCTGGCATTGCAAATTTAGAATTGCATTATGACGTTATTTAAAGTCAGCAAATTGACAACAGTAATGACGTAATTGGTGCGTGATGATTATGAAAACGCAGTGCAAATGTAAAGCAAGAAAGAAATAGAATTTTTAGGTGATGGAACTCAAGACATATGTATAAATAAATAAATAGAAAAACATCATCATTAAAGGATACATGGTTACATTGAAAAAAAATTGTTATAATTTGATTGAAAAAGTAAGCAAACCAAATGGAATAATATGTAAAATCTTGAGCGCCATCTTCGAAAAATTTGGAAAAAAAAAACATAAAGCCTAGTTCACAATATCTCACCCGGGAAACTAGGTCGCGACGGCTTATTGCTAGTGTGTACTGGCACATAATCATCATCACCCTGTATAGTGTTCCCGTCATGATAAAAATCATCAGGTTTTTTCGTGGTACTCTCATGGTAAGAGGGTTTTACATGATAAAAATGATTTTGGTTCCAAGATGGCCGGTTGTTACCGGTTTGATCCAGTTCTGGGTGGTTTGTGTCCGGTTTTTGGTGGTAATCCGGCTTGGAGTCAGTGTAAATGATAATTGGATCTTCAAATTGGTTTGTGTTGGTTTGGTAATCGTAGTTTTCATGTGGGAATGTTCCGATCAGTTCGATTAGATCACCTGGTGAAGGGTTTATGAGTTAGTCGTATGGTTGTGAATGGTTAATGGTAAGTTATGAGTTGAAAACATAAAGATTTAATAAATTTGTTGTTGTAAACGTGTATAATAAGTAGTAACTTATGAGAATTAGTATGAATATTGAGGCTTATATTTAAATTAGTCCCCTAAACATAAAGGGTAGTATAGCCAAAAAATAATTATTTTATGCTTATTAGTTCGATCATTAAGTTAATGATAAAAATCATCAGGTTTTTTCGTGGTATTCTCATGGTAAGAGGGTTTACATGGTAAAAATGATTTTAGCTCCAAGATGGCCGGTTGTTACCGGTTTGATCCAGTTCTGGGTGGTTTGTGTCCAGTTTTTGGTGATAATCCGGCAATATGGGGGTTGCCTGGAAAGATTTCAAGGAGTTTTGTAAATTGGCAGTTATTTAGATCTTGATGTGAAGAGCACATCCAAATCTAGAAGATTACCAATTTTTGAAACTCCCTAAAACATTTCAGGCATAGCTACCAAATGATTGAGCTACATTTAAAAGGTCAGATGTTCATTTTGATTAAAATGCAGGTCGAAATAAAACTAAACTAATGCATCAAAGTACTATTTTCCGTTGTTTTAAGTAAGTGTGTGCCTATCTTATTATTTTTAATTGAATAAGCCGGTAATGGAGCAGATGGAACATCTGAGGGTAAGCAATCGGCGTCGCTCACGGACAACTGGAACACCAGAGGCGTTACAAGTGCATTACCGGCCTTTTGGGAATTGGGAGTTTGAGGATTGTGACGACGAAACACAACGCAAGCGTTGTTTCATGTCGGTGTTCTGTGACGCCGTGGTATCACACAAAGATCGATCACAACACCTTTAAAACAAAATTAGAAAGTGTTTAACTTCGATCCAAGTTAATAGCACATGTTAGTCCGTCACGGTTGGAACATTTACAAACTGTTAGCTTGGGAAACTGCCCTGAGGTGTAAGAGAAAGTCCTGCCCATTGGACCGGTAACACAATACTAAAAGTCTAGGGAAAATAGATAATTAAGTTCGTTATATAAGTCATACTGCCTCGTTGGCCACGTGGTTGTTAGTGCGACTGCCGAGGAAGGTATCTCAAGCTGAATTCCCGTGTTCGGTTAGAAATTTTTGAAAGTTTTACAGTAATACAATTATAAAGACTTTTTTTGAGGAGGGAAAATCATACAATGACTTCTCGAGTGAAGCGAGAGGGAGTGTCAGACTCTTACTGACGTCGCGGAGAACCTAACGCGTAACCGGGGCTCCGGCTCGACGTGCAGGAGAAGGAACGGGGTGGTTTTTAGTCAGTAAGAGTCTGACACTCCCTTCCGCCTCACCCAGGCGGGAGCAGTCATTCAATGATTTTCCCCCCTTAAAAAAAAAAGACTCTTACTGACTAAAACCCGCCCCGTACCTACTCCTGTACTTCGATCCGGAGCCCCGGCAACCCGTTAAGGCCTCCGCGGCTACGTAACAGCCCTATTAGGCCCTATCTGTCCCCACAGATGTCTCATAGCTATAGGACGATGACGTAAATGAAATGTATGAAATGTATTTTATAATGACAACCCCCGCGTTTCTATTATGCAGATCTTAGACCGTAACTGTCTAATTCTATAAAAGCATAATGACAGAACCCTTCGTTGGCTAAGTTGTTGCAAACTCAACTGCAGAGGGTCTTGGGTTCGATTCTCTGGTCAATCAAAGTATTATTGGATTTTATTTTTAGAAACTTTTTCAGTACCTAATAAAGTTTTCTCTACTTGATATTTTTATATCGAAAATGGTGAAAATTGAACCTAGTCTGTCTTTTAATAGCTCCGGGAATTAAAATACATAACATAACATAACATCACGCCTTTTATCCCCGAAGGGGTAGGCAGAGGTGCACATTACGGCACTTAATGCCACTGTACAATGTAACACCCACTTTTCACTATTTATGTTATAAGTCCTATGTAATAGGGACTGAGCCTATTGCCATATACCGGGCACATTTCCAGACCCCGTGCTACTACTGAAATTTTTAAAAACCCAATAATACTTTGCCCGACCCGGGAATCGAATCCGCGTCTCCCATGGGAGTAGGCAGAGACAATGGAACACCAGTTACTACTACTCCTACATACCTCTTTCGCTTCATCAACAGTCATCAATCTTTTTATGCATGCTCGTCGGTTAAGGGTAGGTAGTACTTTTAATTTGGCCCTTCTTTAATAGGTATATCGCCAATCTAAAATACTTAACAAATATTTTAAGATACAGGCTCCTGCATGGTCTCAATATATTTTGAATACCATACGCAAAATTACTTTCATTGTAAAACAATAGCCTCGCTGATTCAACTCAATACGTTTTGAATAAATTATCAATAAACGTACCTACATAGAATCGTGAAAGTAATATTACGCCATACAATCATACAGTACGGTCTGTCTGTCTGTCTATACGGTAAGAGGTACGGAAATAAATACGTGGAATTATCTTGTGCCGTCGACCAATCAGTGCGTAAAGTTGTTGGCTTGTGGTCTAAGGTAGGAGGGTAGCGTTTTGGGATTTCAATTCATAAACATAACATAATATAACATCATGCCTTTTATCCCCGAAGGGGTAGGCAGAGGTGCACAATATGCCACTGTACAATGTAACACCCATTTTTCACTATTTATGTGATGGGTCCCATGTAATAGGGGGTGAGCTTATTGCCATATACCGGGTACAATTACAGACTCCGTACTACTACTGAAAATATTTAAAAACCCAGTAGTACTTTGCCCGACCCGGGAATCGAACCCGAGACCCCTTGTGTTAATTTTAAGTTGTAAATATTCTCTAGTTACATAGTTTTGTTGTTTGCATTGTGCGAGAACAATTTAACACCAATATTCAGTCAAAGGGATCGGAACAGAAAATAACTGTAACCATAATTACGACAATCTCTTTTCAACAAGAATAAAGCCCAAAAAATGTCGCGGAGAACCTAACGGGTAACCGGGGCTCCGGCTCGACGTGCAGGAGAAGGAACGGGGTGGTTTTTAGTCAGTAAGAGTCTGACACTCCCTCCCGCCTCACCCAGGCGGGAGCAGTCATTCGATGATTTTCTCCCCTTAAAAAAAAAGCCCAAAAAATCTTCGCCTCGCTACCGCTTACAACTTGGACCACTAGAGAGAGTTGCATACGCGTTATATTTCGTAACTCAACACAATGTCAAGCGTTTTGTCACTGCAAAGAAACTAATTCTAATGATCTTCATACGACAATCTATTGCAATGTTATTGTTAAAGGACAACCTCTAAAAATGACATTAAATAGAGTGCTGCTTACTCTTCTATGTGAAATTACCGTGAACATAATAGTAGTTTGGTTTCGAGGTCGGGTTTTGTAATAGGTACTTTCGTATGTAATCTTTGAAAGGTATAGTTTTAAAACAGACAGTAGGTCATTGAATTCGGTACTCTTTTCTGACCCTTGAATCGTCATGACGCTTCTCGTTCGAAGAAGAGAAAGGGGACTATCATTGAGATTGTTGACAAAAGCCCAAAAATAAAAAAACAAACATTACATTTTCAATGGGACTGCCTCTTTGGCCTAGTGGTCGCAAGTGCGACTGCCGGGCAAGGGGTCTCGGGTTCGATTCCCGGGTTGGTCAAAGTGTTAATGAGTTTTTAAAAAATTCTCAGAAGTAGCACGGAGTCTGGAATTGTGCCCGGAATATGGCAATAGGCTCACCCCCTATTACATGGGACTCATAATATAAGTAGTGAAAAGTGGGTGTTACATTGTACAGTGGCATAATGTATACCTGTGCCTACCCCTTCGGGGTTAAAAGCGTGATGTTATGTTATGTTATGTAATTTAGAACAATATCATTATAACTTACAATGTTCTCACTTCATGTACGACATTGTTTCATAGTGTTATGGTGGTTTGCTCATAAGAAACCTAACTTTATGCTGTTTTATCGGAAGACGTGAACAGACATGTGTTGTATACTGTATAGTAGTCAGTTTTGTGGATAGACATGTTAATCAAGAGGTTTACGAAAAATTAATACGGCTTTCAGTTTTTCAGAAATATCTCCGCAATAGGTAGATTAATAATTTGGACACCTGGAACACCAGAGCTGTTACAAGTGCGTTACCGGCCTTCTGGATAAGGAATTTGAGGATTGCTGGGGATTCAGGGATTGGGGAAAGGGAGGGAGGGGGGTAATTAAGCCTCCGGTAACCTCACTCACACGACGAAACACAACACAACGTTGTTTCACGTCGGTCTTCTGTGAGGCCGTGGTATCACTCCGGTCGAGCCGGCCCATTCATGCCGAAGCATGGCTCTCCCACACTTAAAATCCGATACTGTTGGCTCCATGGCCAACAATGTATGGACGCAGAACAATGTCCTTTCGCATTCATAAAATTAGTAGGATGAATTTATGAACAAATATAATTCGACATTCTCCGTCAGGTAATATTATGTTAATGTAAGTTCCAATTTTAAGTCAAAAAGGTTCAACAATATATAAACAAGTGAATATCTATTAAATAGACACAACAATTATTAACACAACACTGTCTCGCATGCAGTTGCATTTAAACACAATCATTATTTAAATATAATACATTATTATGGAACAAAACTTCTCAATATATGTTTGAAGAAATCCCATCTTACTTATTGATTTACTTGTATTAATTTATATAAAAATATGGCTTTTGTTATGGATTTATCTAAATAATGTCATATTTCAGATATACAAGGTGTAGTTTTGAAGCCGTGTCATTTCTCGGGGGCGTGTCACAGAAGTCATAAAGGTTCAATGTAAGAGAAAGTTTCGGGCCAATAGTTAAAAATACGGCTTATTTATTTATTGTTTTGTTCTTCTTTCTTTAAAAAAACCGTTGCCCCACATTAGGATTTACTCTTGAGTCGTGGGTGCGTTCGCAAACATACAAGTTTACGTACACATGACACCCAGATACGGAACAACAATTTATGGATCACACAAAGAATTGCTCCGTGTGGAAATCGAACCCACTACACGCTACAACCGGTTGCCGAGCCGTGCAGTTGTAGTGTTAAAACGTAAAGTTTAAACGTCAAATCCCTTCCTAGTTAAATAAGTAAGTAAAGGATTTACTTCAAAACAAAATAGACAATACACAAAAACAAAGGATACCTACTCCAATTTCAGCATAATTATACAAAAAACACTTACTAGCATTATGAACAACGGGTGCTACCTCAGTGGGTCGCTCAGTGGTCTCCCTATCCACACAGCAGGCCCAGATCATGCCACCTGAACATAGGTCTAGGGGCTTCCCACCCCCTAGGACGCAGGATATACTCAACCCACATGGGTATCGAGCACCCCTGTAACGGCAAGTTTGGGGGATCACTGAAACAAATGAAAATTTTGTGTTTTAGACATAAATTATAGAGGTAAAAAATGTGAAATCACGCGTTTTACCCCCGAAGGGGTAGGCAGAAGTGCACATTATGATACTTAATACATTAAGACTTTGACTGCCAATAAAAAAACTGTTGAAGGTAAATCCTCCGCTACCGCCGGTCGCCGGAGACCCCCATGGCGTTAAACGTGTTAAAAAAAATTATAAAAAGTTTTACTTTCAGGCGTCGAGGGTCGTTTTAAGGCCACTGTACCTGCCTGAGTTCCATATAATATGTGTGTGTGAGTCTATTACCATATACCGGGCACAATTCCAGACTCCGTGTTTACTAGTGAATTTTTTCTAAAACCCAGTAAAACTTTGCTCGACTCGGGAATCGAACAGAAGGCCCCTTGCCTTGCATTGTACTGCTCGGCCAACGAGGCAGGCAATGTGTTAGAATATAGTTATTTAAACTAAGAAAAACAACATAATGTTCGATATACAGTAATATAATAAACGCTTTGTTTGCAAAAAAAAAAAAAAAAATACAAAGATATTGACAAAATGTTTACGAAGTCTAAATTTCTATCACCCTAAAAACATTATGTACCTAGGCTAACTTCCACCCGCGGCTTTGCCCGCATTCCCACTGAATAAAAATAACCTATGTGTTATTCCAAACCATAATCTATTGTCCCTGTTCCAAAGATCAAGCACCCCAACCTTTTTTTTAAGGGGGAAACATTGAAGAACTTATCCCGCCTTTGATGAGGCGAGGAGTGTCAGACTCTTACTGACTAAAAACCACCCTGTTAAGTCCTCCGCGGCTCCATATCGGCATCAGCCCTACTGAGCCCTATATGAGGTGGTAACCTCCGTGCTTAGAGATCACAGTTTAAGTTAGATATTGTATTTAACTAAAGAACAAAACAAATCATCATTCTAGAATATAACACGGATTGTTCTTATTCAATGTTCTTAAAACTCATTTTCTTAAAAAATAATAAAATTCTAAACTCTTAAAAAAAAATATTGTGTTCGATTGCATTTAGATTAAAGTTGTCTATAGGACCTCTGCGCAGTTGGTATCGGCCCCTCGTTCGCCTCCCAATTGACCAGGGAGCCTGTGGTCCAGTAAGTGGTAAATACATACGTAATATAAATAATAATAATCAACAAACATACAAAATATCAACAAAACAACGAAAATAAAACAAAATCATCCATCCAATCATCTATATATATAAAATTCAAAGGTGATTGACTGACTGACTGACTGACATAGTGATCTATCAACGCACAGCCCAAACCGCTGGACAGATTGGGCTAAAATTTGGAATACAGATAGATGTTATGACGTAGGCATCCGCTAAGAAAGGATTTTGATAATTTCCACCCCCAGGGGGGTAAAAAAAGGGATGAAAGTTTGTATGAAACTTTGTCAGTTTTTAACTGATCGGGTCGAAATTTGGCATGCAGATAGATGTTATGACGTAAACATCTACTGTGAAAGGATTTTGATAATTTCCACCCCCAAGGGGGAAAAATAGGGGATGAAAGTTTTTATGAGACTTTGTCAGTTTTAAACCGATCGGGTTGAAATTTGGCATGCAGATAGATATTATGACTTAAGCATCCGCTTTGAAAGGATTTTGATAATTTTTACCCCCAAGGGGGTAAAATAGGGGATGAAAGTTTGTATGAGACATTGTTAGTTTTAAACCGATCGGGTTGAAATTTGGCATGCAGATAGATGTTATGACGTAGGCATTCGCTGTGAAAGGATTTTGATAATTTCCACCCCCAAGGGGGTAAAATAAGGGATGAAAGTTTGTATGAGACTTTGTCAGTTTTAAACCGATCGGGTTGAAATTTGGCATGCAGATAGATGTTATGACGTAAGCATCCGCTTTGAAAGGATTTTGATAATTTCCACCCCCAAGGGGGTAAAATAGGGGATGAAAGTTTGTATGAGACATTGTCAGTTTTAAATCGATCGGGTTGAAATTTGGCATGCAGATAGATGTTATGACGTAGGCATCCGCTGTGAAAGGATTTTGATAATTTCCACCCCAAGGGGTAAAATAGGGGATGAAAGTTTGTATAGACTTTGTCAGTTTTAAATCGATCGAATTGAAATTTGGCATGCAGATAGATGTTATCAATAGGCATCCGCTGAAAGGATTTTGATAATTTCCACCCCAAGGGGGTAAAATAGGGGATGAAAGTTTATATGAGCTTTGTCAGTTTTAACCGATCAGATTGAAATTTGCATGCAGTAGATGTTATGACGTAGGCATCCCAAGTAAGGATTTTGATATTTCCACCCCAATGGGGTAATAGGGGATGAACGTTTGTATGAAGCTTTGTCAGTTTTACACCGATCGGGTTGAAATTCGGCGTGCAGATGGATATTATGACGTAAACGTCATTTAGAAAGGTTTTTGAACATTCTCACCCCAAAGTGGGTAAAATAGGGGGTGAAAGTTTGTATGATACTTTGCCAGTTTTAAATTGATCGGGCTGAGACTTTGCATGCATAAAGTTGCTATGACATAGGTATCTCCTTAGAAAGGATTTTGATAAATTCCACCCCTAAGGGGATAAAATAGGGAATGAGAGTTTGTATAAATCTTCTTAGCCATTGAATTAAGAATCATTGATTCTTTTTGAATTAAATTCGGTAAAACGATGATTTGGGCCCTGGGTAACGTATGATAGTTTTTTCACAGATGTCTCACGAGAACGGGAACTATGCATCAATGCCCCAGGACTCTCTAACTCTTAACCACTGAACTTATTCTAGAGAGATTCGGTAACAACAATAGTCGATAGAATAGTTTTTATTACTCAAACCTTACGTGATCGGGCACTGTACTGGTAAGATCTCTGCGGGATTATTTATTTATTGAAACTACGATAAAACATTTCAAAATAGGTAAATCTTACTTGGGCACTGAATTGATTCTGGTTAATTCTGTCAGAAGTCATTAATCTACGCGGACGAAGTCGCGGGCAACAGCTAGTTAATACATAAATCTCCAACACAAAAGAAAAATACATTTACCGAACAAATGCTCCGAAGAAAAAAAAATTCAATTCATAGATCACCCGAATAAAACTGTAAATGACAACAATTTGTGCTATCTGTTACATAAATACGAATCACACGCAACATCATTTAAACATCGAAAGATCAATAAAACGGTTGAATGACCGGACATTTTCTCTGCGCACGCGCAACTACTTTTACTCTCAGTACATTCGCGTGACTTAGATGAACATTTCGATACGAGACAATGACTTTACACTATATTATGGATTTTATCTTTTAGTCTTAGGATGGTATTTAAATGGGTAAGTAGAGTAAAAGTTTTTTTTTTATGGCATAAGTCGGTAAACGAGCAGACGGATCACCTGATGGTAAGCAATCGGCGTCGCCCATGGACACCTGGAACACCAGAGGCGTTAAAAGTGCGTTACCGGCCATTTGGGGATTAGAAGTTTGAGGATCGTTGGGGATTCAGGGATTGGGGAGATTGGGGAAGGGGAGGGTAATTGGGCCTCCGGTAACCTCACTCACACGACGAAACACAACGCAAGCGTTGCTTCACGTCGGTTTTCTGTGAGGCTCCGGTCGACTCCGGTCGAGCCGGAGCCCCGGTAACCCGTTAAGTCCTCTGCGGCTCCGTAACCTACAACGGTGTTGCTTAAATCCAGGTAACACAATGATTTAATTCCAGACGATGTATGTATTTCTATTCGGTAAGAATTTCTGCCTCGTTAGCCGTGTGGTCGCAAGTGCGACTGCCAGTCAAGGGGTCTCGGGTTCAATTCCCGGGTCGAGCAAAATGTTACTCAGTTTTTATAAAAAATCTCAGTAGCAGCACGGAGTCTGGAATTGTGCCCGGTATATGGCAATAAGTTCACCCCTATTACATGGGACTGATAACATAAATAGTGAAAAGTGGGTGTTACATTGTACAGTGGCATTAAGTGCCGTAATGTGCACCTCTTGCCTACCCCTTCGGGGACAAAAAGACGTGATATTATGTTAAGTAAGAATTTCGAAATTAACAATCTCGACTCGGGATCAGCCTTAAAATCCCAAACACGCCAGTCACAAAATCTTACGACATACAGACGTAAAGAAGTACTCAACTCATATAAAGAGAATATATTATCTCTATATTTTCATCCATTTAAACAATCGTAACTCATGAAATGCTTATCAGATTAACGTGCGCAACGTTTAGATCTGTACATCTATTTTCTAGCCAGATTTAGACAACATCAGTCTAGCCACACACACTATAAAGTCATAATCATATAGTTTTTCCTTCTATGGACAAACATTTAAGTGTGGGAGAGCCATGCTTCGGCACAAATGGGCCGGCTCGACCGGAGTGATACCACGGCCTCACAGAAAACCGACGTGAAGCAACGCTTGCGTTGTGTTTCGTCGTGTGAGTGAGGTTACCGGAGGCCAAATTACCCTCCCCTTGCCCAATCTCCTGAATCCCTGAATCCCCAACGATCCTCAAACTCCTAATCCCCAAAAGGCCGGTAACGCACTTTTAACGCCTTTGGTGTTCCAGGTGTCCATGGGCGACGCCGTTTGCTTACCATCAGGTGATCCGTCTGCTCGTTTACCGGCAAATGCCAAAAAAAAAAAAACAAATGGGCCGGCTCGACCGGAGTGATACCACGGCCGAGCAGAAAACCAACGTGAAACAACGCTTGTGTTGTGTTTCGTCTATCGTGTGAATAAGGTTACCGGAGGTCCAATTACCCCTCCCCAGTCTCCCCAATCCCCGAATCCTCCACAATCCTCAAATTTCCAATTTCTAAAAGGACGGTAACGCACTTGTAACACTTTGGTGTTTGGGAGACGCCGATTGCTTACCATCAGGTGATCTGTCTGCTCGTTTACTGGCTTATGCCATAAAAACCATAGAAACAAAAGTATTATAATGTTAAGAAGCGTCTGTTTGTCTGAAGACGCTTATCTCAGTAACTACTGAACCGATTTGAAAAATTTTTTTGTGTTGTATAGTCCATTAATTGAGGAACGCTGTAAGCTATAAAACATCACGCTACGATCAATAGGCGCCGAGCAGAGCGGGCAAAACCGAGCAAGAGTAGGTAATGTTAAGATAAGCACGTTCGCGTTGTTTGTCGTTGAAATTTTATTTCATATACCATCGACTGCATGTTCACTATTTATTATATGGGACTCATAATGTACCTGGTGAAGAGTAGATGTTTAATTTAAGCCTGAGTGAATTAGCCTAATGTCATTCTCTTTACATACTCCTAACTATACAAGAATCAAAATGTCAAGTAGATTGCTTGATTTTTTTTATATTTGATGGACCGACGTTTGACCACTATCTCGTCCAGTGGTAAGCGATGTTGCGGTCTACGATGGAGCACGTCTGACCATAAGTATCTATTCACTCGGGCCTTGAAGACACCCAGGTTATAACCTTCAGGAAACCCAGACTCTGGCAAAGAACTCCACTCCTTAGCAGTACGCACACGTAATAAACAAACTTGCATTGGTATTTATAATATTAGTGTTTACAACTTACTTAAAAGGGATTCCTGTTTTATATATATAAAAAGGGATTCCTGTTTTATATATATAAAACTGTATAAGATGATTGTTATTTCTTTACTTTCTTTACCTACTTATGCTCAACTGTTAAGAATCCCTTTTTCTCTTGGTCGCGGCATCACGCGTGAATGGCTCGACCGATGTCACTAATTCTTTTTTACCGACTTCAAAAAAAGGAGGAGGTACTATGTTCGGCTGATTGTTTTTTTTTTTTTTTTTTTGTTTGTTCGCGCAGTACTCCGCCGTTTGTGGACCGATTTCGAAAATTTTTGTTTCGTTTGAAAGGGTATACTCCCGAGATGGTCCCATTTCCATGAAGTCAGGATCTGATGATGGGATCCTAGGGAAACTGAGGGGAACTTTCGAAAATTCTATGGGAGAGTAATGCGTCTATTATGTTTTTCAATTACGAATTTAATTGTTGTATTTGTCATTATTAGAAGAAGGTTCTTAAGACAGAAAAAGTCTCTCAGTAGTAGCACGGAGTCTGGAATTGTGCCCGGTATATGGCAATAGGCTCACCCCCTATTACATGGGACTCATAACATGAATAGTGAAAAGTGGGTGTTACATTTGTACAGCGGCATTAAGTGCCGTAATGTGCACCTCTGCCTACTCCTTCGAGGATAAAAGGCGTAATGCCATGTTACATATTCTACGCGGACGAAGTCGCGGGCAACAGTTAGTAACAAATATAAATGCTATACTAAACAAAATTATACCAAACAGACGGACAAATAACACACTCTTACATCGAAACACCAGATACAATGTCAGTTTCAAGTTACAAAACCACGTGTCAAACCGCTCAGTTTTAAAGGAAATGATTCTAATTATATTTACCTCAGACCTCAGACGAGAGTAGCTTTCTCAATGGTTTACATTGGCCAGTTAACCGTGGGAATTGTCCAACCGGACATAACATTTATATAGTTTAAAATAAGACTTAAATTACCATAACGGAAGCTTGTTAGGCAGTTTAGAATAGTTCCTGTTTGTCTATTGAGTTCTTTTGTTTGTTTTTAAGTTAATGTTTCGCTGTATATCGTGGTGGTCTGTTTCAAAACGTTACAAGTACTAGTATGACATTTTCTGAATTATTTCAAAATTTATTTATTTTAATTCGGGTAACCAACAGCTATGTAACAAATAATAAAATTTCAGAATATGCCAATACAAAGCCAATTATAGGTTTCCACGGCTAGCTACAGTATATCTTTACAGAGGTTTTGCGAATGCAATGCACATATAAGTATAAAACATGGATATTTATATTATATGTACTTACTTTCTAAGATTATTTAGTCATTATTTAGTCTCGTGGTGGCCCGACGGTCTGTCAAACACCGCGAGTACACCGGTGACCGCAACCTATTGTTCTTTAATTGTGTCTATAATGACGGTACTCAAAGTCTCAAAGGGTTAAGCCGGCTTCTCATGCATGTGTGTGCGGAGTTCGAAACCTACCAACGGTTAGTATCAATGATATATTTTTTTAATAATTATTGTGAAAAGGGTCCCAGGTCGGGTATAATATTGTAATGGGGTTTTTAGCATCTCAATAAACAATGTCAGGTATAGTATGAAGTCTTGAATCGTGTCTGATATATGATAATAGGCTAATCCCTATTAGATGGGATGGTTTATAAAAAAACTGTCGTGGAGGTTTCGAAATCTACCAACGGCTAGTACCAATGTGACATTCTCCGAGTTATATGTACTATCTAAGATTATTTAGACACCACTGACCAACGGTGAAGGAAAACATCGTGAGGAAACCTGGACTTATAATTTCTAATTATTACTTTGAAATCGCCAACCCGCATTGAGCAAGCGTGGTGATTAATACCCAAATCCATATGAGAAGAGAAATTGCTCTGCAGTGGGTATTTATAGGCTGTTGATGAAAAATTATTTAGACACCACTGACAAACGATGAAGGAAAACATCGTGAGGAAACCTGGGCTTATAATTTCTAATTCTAAGTTTGAAATCGCCAACCCGCATTGAGCAAGCGTGGTTATTAATGCTTAAACCTTATCCATATGAGAAGAGGAATTGCTCAGCAGTGGGCATTTATAGGCTGTTGATGAAGATTATTTAGACACCACTGACAAACACTGGTGAAGGAAAAAACATCGTGAGGAAACGTGGGCTTATAATTTCTAATTATAAGTTTGAAATCGTCAATCCTTCTTAAGTTATCGTGGTAGTTAATGTTCATTCCTTCTCAGTGTAAGAAGAGAGCTGGGCCCAGCAGTGTGTACTTAAATAATTAATTTATTAGGGTTGTTGATGGGATGTGATACGCTGATCAAGACTTAGGTACAGATGCATATATGAAACGTGGGACCCAGTTTTCAGTTGCAATTATGACATTACATCAAGCCTCTGAATCTCCGAATGGATAGGCAGAAGTGCGTATATGTATACTTAACACTTATTTAATACACACACATCATGATATAAAGCTGTATTTACTAATTTTAATAAAGTTAAATAGGTACGCATTAAATGTTTTTTGACTATGACATATCTTGTGGTACTACCAAAAATATTGATAAATGTATTTCGGTTGTCGTGTTTCAAGTTTTATCTGTCGATTTCTTAATAAATAGTCCTAAAATTTTTTTTGTTTATGTGTAGTTTATCATTAACATAAAATTCATATTATATTTTTTTCATAACAAAAATTTTTAATATGTTTTATCTTTAAAGGTATCGTCACTCTTATATAGACAGTCTCCAATTTCGGGCAGGTACGCATAAAATGTCATTTAAAATACTATTTTGCACACTAAAATAATTTTTAGAATACTCACTTTTCCCCAACAAATCCATGATAGAATCATCTTCTTGGGACGAACCATAGCCATTATGATATGACCCTTTACGTCTCCCGAGAGCTCCTAACATTAAAATATCTTTTTCTTGCTCATTTACAGGCCGCCTTCTGTCCGATGGTAAATCGACATCTTTCTCATCTATACCTCCTTGTAACGTCAATACATCATCATCGACACACATAACATTAAAAAAACAATTAAAAAAAACAAAAATAAACAAAGAAGTTCTCAAAAACATCGTATTATAAAAATTCCCGCGCATTCTTCTTCGAGTTTTGAAGTTTTTTTTATTAATATTATATTTTCCCGCCACGGTCGTTCCATCGAGTCTGTTTTCGATTACACTTTTACACATTTCACTGGTTTCTATTACACTTCATTTTTTTTTTAATTTGACACTTTTTTCACTTTTATTTTTGTTTATTTGGCGTGAGACGTCTTTACGCGCGTACTTGGCTATCGGAAGTAAACTGCGTTCGCGCGTTGGTTCGTTCCTTTTCACTTTTAGTTAGGGTTCCACAAGAGTTTTACATTTTATTATCACTATTACTCAATTGTTTGTATCTTTAAAACCTCCTTACACTCTCTGTCCGCCATTTGTATTAATAATCTGTAATTTAATTGCTGTCATTAGGTCATTGACATGGAATTTTCTTTCAAAATTTTTAGGTTATATTTTTTGTACTGAACTCGATAAATTTTTGATGTTTTTATATTAAACAATGACTGTAAATTTGTTCTTTTATCGTGTCTATGGTGTGCGTGACATATAAGTAGAGGGAACGTGTAATAATAGTATAATTCACTGAGTGAATGTAGTGTAAGTTTGTATGCAAGTAAAATTTTCCTAAACTAGCGATAATTGTTTTTAGATTTTGACAGTTGCATGTGTATAAGGACGTGCTAATTTTGATAGTTTTACCTGGTGACATAGTTTTTCTATTGGCACATATTATACAGCTGTTTAATGTAGGTACAGATATTTAAACTTTTTGGAATAGTAAAATGACCTAAATGACGAATTTGGGTTACAATTGTTATCTAACAGTTATAATTATAATTATTTGCAAAACTTAGCAAAATAAATATTGAATAATAAATTATTGTGTTTGACAATAAGATAATGTTAATATACTACAATTAGGTCAAGGATACATGTGTTATTGATTATTATAATTACTTAATCGAAATTGTATAATAAATTATTATTAATATTTTATATTCCAAATGTTCTAGTTTTTTTAAATAATTCAAATGAATTATCAGACTTTGCATAAATAAGTACCTATGTTGTCTCTCAATTATTACCAGTCATCTTGTTAAAAATGTAATATCATTTTGTTCGACCAGGGAATCGAACTTGTTAAACAAGTGCATTTATTTCTGCAAATAGGCTACAAGGCAGCACTTTTACACGTCAATTTTTCAAGCGAACGATGAGGTCGACATTTCTTAACTGACTCTGAGAAGAAATGCCAAAACCAACTCAGAGGTCCGTCTCTTTTACAGTCGTCTTCTACTACGTCGTACCGACAATCAATTGTATAATAAATAACTATAGATATAACTATATAATATAACGATATAACTATATAAGACATATGTCTGGACTGTAAAAGAGACTGGTTCGACATTAGCACTACTGACTAATCGACCAATAAGACTAATAAAACCACTAAGTACTGTTTAAAAAACAAACCACAACCATTTTAATGAATCTAAAGTTTGTTTTTTGTCTTGACCAAAATTAACGTTTATGACTTGAACGGCTATTTCCTAGTAAATGTAATTTTCTAAGACATTTCTCTTTGTCAGTTTGAACTGCAAAAAGTATAAGAATTATCCAGTTACTCTAGTTGGTAGATAATTGGTTGTGTGCGCAATAACTAATTTGTTAGATGTTATTTAAAAAGTTGCCTCGTTAGCCGAGTGGTCGCAAGTGCGACTGCCGGACAAAGGGTCTCGGGTTCAATTGCCGGGTCGGGCAAAGTATAACTGGGTTTAAAAAAAATCTCATTAGTAGCACAGAGTCTGGAATTGTGCCCGGTATATGGCAATAGGCTCATCCACTGTTACATGGGACTGATAACATAAATAGTGAAATGTGAGTGTTACTTCTGTGTGCACCTCTGCCTACCCGTTCGGGGATAAAAGGCGTGATGTTATGTTATGTTATTTAAAAAGTCTAAATGGTCTGAGTTAGAAATCGGAAATCTTTTTAAGTATTGACCGATTTTATGCAGTAAATGGGTAGGGTCCTAAATTAAAAGTAAATAATTTTGACTGTTTAATACAATGAAGTATTAAAACATAATCACACTTATATTAATTTTAGTATTTTAACCAACTTAATAAATAAGGAAATAAACCAACTTAATTTCAGTATTTTTCTAGCAATTTTTTAAGGAATAAGTATGCTGTTTGACGCTAAAAACGTGACGTTACAATACACAATCTCGTACAAAATTCATAGAAAACTATCGTTTTTGACAGTTCGAAAAAAGTATTGAATTTGACTAGTTGGCAAGTACCCAATTTTAGTAGCCATGTATAGTTTAAACAGGTTAAAATATATTCTCCACGAAATCCTACTCTTCCTACGCTCTTCCTGTCAAATTTCTAATACATTTTTTTTATATTTGATGGGCCGACGTGTGACCACTATCTCGCCTGTTAGTCAGCAATGAAATGATGCTGTCTACGATGGAGCATGTCGTCCTATAAGCAACCTATTCACTCGGGCCTTGATGACACCCAAGAAATACAGACTCTGGCAAGTTATATATTTGACAGAGATCAGGCAGCAACGAAGAGTGAAGAACATGGTAATCTCTTCTTAGGTAGAGAAGGCCTAATTGACGGGTCCCGTATACTATTGCAACTCGCATTTTTTTATAGAATACGTAAGTAAGTACTTTAGCATACTTAGAACCCGTTGTTATAGTCCTGCAGTGATATGTTACAGGTCGTTTGATTAGTGTTAGTAACAATTAAGACATTTAAGTTTTAATCCTTTGTAATAAAGTTGAAATTAAAGGGAACAGCCTGACGTGCTCGTGTATGTATTCAGCATAACATCATCAACACGCCTTTTATTCCCGAAGGGGTAGGCAGGGGTGCACATTACGGCACTTAATGCCACTGTACAATGTAACACCCACTTTTCACTATTTATGTTATGAATCCCATATAATAGGGGGTCTATTCCATACATCGGATCGGATCTATTCCAGGCACCGTACTACTATTGAGAATGTTTTTTAAGAACGCCTGTAATACTTTTCTTGAGTCGCACTTGCGACCACTCGGCGAGGCAGTGTTTTGAGCATGAAGTATTAATTAATAATTTAGACAGTTTGGTACTTAGACAGGCTTATTTATTTATCTTATCAACGGTCTTTTTATCCTCTGGTGACTACAAAATGGAATACATTTTGTCTCTATCGGTTCTACAGAGAAAAGACTGCACATTTAATATATACTATTATGTAGATTGAGCGGTAGCACTCTCTAATAAACCTGAATCTATTACCCTGCAATCTCCAACCTACCAACTAGCCAAGATTACGGCAAGCCTTGTTACACAGTTCAATACTCCAATAGTGGCCTGTCACGGACCGTTGATGATATAAATTTTTCTTCGATTGTCAAATGACTACGAGTTACAGTCAACGACATCTACAAGATTCTTGATCATACAGCCTTAACAATATTTCCATATTAAGTACTCAATAATGAGATACAAACAGTTTTAATGTGCATTCAAGTATCAAGATGGAGTGGTTACACTTGAACACTCATAAGACGCCGACTTTCGCCTTAGCTTTCCAAAACATGACTTTAAATGGTTGAAAAACGTCGTAAGTAACACCACACTGAATAAAATTCGATTTTATTTATAAAGCTATAACGTCTAAACTCATTTGACCGCTGGTCATCGGTGACAAATCCCTCTGATGTGTCTGATTGATTTAGAGTAAAATAAAAGTCGGGAAAATCAACTTTGTAGTCTTCATTTTAGGGTTTAATTCGCTTTGTTGTGTAGTCAGGATGTAATTTGTCAATGGACAACTCTGCTTTCTTTACTAATGACATCTGTTAAGGTTAATTTCGCGGTATTGCATTATCTGTGGCTAATTCGTTTTTGATAGGGCTCTATTCTCTATGGTACGTTTTTGGCGGGAAGTGGGTCAATTATTACAATCAAAGGTTAATTTTACAATTTTGTAATTGTTCATGAAATTATTTCTTAAGTATTTTGTTTACGATCAATTTTGTTTGAACGAAATTGTGCGTAAATTGTTTGAAAGTTGCCCTCGAGGTGTTTTGAATGTATAAATAATTTTATACGCCCTTTTAGGGCTTTAGGCGGTGATTTGATTGTATAAGTTAGTTGGAAAATAACTGTTAGATTGTTATAGCATATTTAGAACATGTGTTTTTGATTGTTGAGTGATTGGAAGACTGATTCCCGGTCTTGAGTTTGATTTCCACGCAAAACAACAATAAGAGCGTCCAGAATAATGTCCGATGTATGGTGATAGGCTTGACCCCATAACTACCTAACGTATAAGTGATGTGACATCCATGACCTAATGTGTACATTACCAAAGGCGCCTTTTGAATACTAACATATTTTCATAATATGTTTATTTTGTAAATATATGTTTCAAATACCCCTAAATAATAATTGTCTATTTTAAAAAGTCATGAACTCTAAATAGGTACCACCATTACTAATATCACGATAAAAAAATAAACGGAAAAACGACGATGAAACGAAATCGAGAGTGTATCGGAACGTGGTTTGACAGTGACAGCTCATCTCGCCCGCCATTTTCACTTTCATCCGTATGGCGCGAAACCGCGTGAAATTTCGGCGCCATATTGCTTATGCTGTTACCGAACGATTGAACAATGATAAATGAGTCAGTATGAATATGTTATTGTGTTGAGTATTAATATTACATGTGCATAATGGAGCAACCTGCTTTTTATTGATAATAATGTATGGTTGGTAGACTTAGAAGGCCAATTGTTCAACATGTTAACTGTCTAAAATAGAAAATAAGTGGAAATAAAATTGAAAATTCTATAACTTTGTCAACTGGTAGTATAGTCGACAACATCGTATTTTGCTCGGTTGCCAAAAAAGAAAAAAAAAACTTTGTCATTCGATTAAAGCTCACGATGCTGATTTTTTTCTAGTTTTAACAATTTATCATATACATAACGACATGGAATCCTCGGGGAAAAAGATAGAGATGCAAATACATGATTCAGTTATGTGATTTCCATGTTATTAAGGATGAAGCTATTATCATATTATGGGCATGATTTCAGACATTATCCTAG